ATTCACATCCTTCGCAGTCAGGCTCTTCGAGAAGTCGCCAAGAATCGACGTTTGAATAGTGAGCACCTTCAACTCGCGGCGAAGTGTCGCTTCTTCGATTTCAAGCGCTGCAACCTTCTCCGATGACGCTTTCGGAACAGTGAGCTTTGGCGAAAGACGCTCGTAGATCACATCGAAGATGACTGCGTTCCCGATGCCATCGACGCGCAATGAAGACTCGTCCATGCATGTCGGAAGCTTGCTGATCTGCACCTCTGATTGTCCTGTCTGTAAAAGGGATGACTACGTGTGACTCATTTGAGTGGATCAAGCGTACCACGAGCTCGACCTTAAAGTCGCGAAGGACCTCTGCCCGTTGTTGGTACACTGTGACGGCTGTCACTGGATGTTCAGACGCGTCGATGTTGATGTTATGAGACATGTTTGCAGGATTCGTTTAGTCGCCAAAGAGGGAGAGGGTGGAAGGGAAGGAAGGTGTTGGACATGTTGGACCATTAATGTACCGCCGCACCGGGTTTGTGACTCGCCGTCACAACATGGACTAGTCTTGGCAAGAAGAAGCTAAGGGAAAAGAAGTTCACTGCCACCAGGAATGACCGCCACTTAGTTTTCACATTTGACGTGGCCAAACGTCTATTTAAGTTGTTGTGGTCAACTCAATGCATGCTGCCCTGCAAGTGCTCGAGATACTTGAATGGATTCTCCGTTACTGCGACGACCAAGATGCTTCTCGCTTCGGTAGGACTTGTCGCACTCTCTTCGAACCATCTATAGCGATAGTCTGGGCTCGGAGCCGAATCCCCCTCGCAAGTGTAATTGGTACCCTCCTGGAACCGATGCCAAAGGATGCTGCCACTGGGAAATCGGCAAATGAAATGAAACGACTTTCTCAGAGATCTGGCTTACATGCATTAGAGAAGATTGAACAGTCGAGCTGCAGGATACTTCACGCGCGTCAAAAGGCTCGAGGTTGGTCCGGGGTGCTCAAAGAAGATGAAGAGGATAGACTTGAACACACTTCAGCAATCTTCGATCTATGGACGTGGAAATAAGCGATTTAGGGGAAGCTGATTGCTTCGCGTCATTACTTGTGCCGGAGTTGACGCACCTACGAGTCGATTTTACACCAGCAGAACATATGCAACCCTCACCCGACTTGGAGGAAGAATTCGCAACGCTCTGTCAAGAATTCTCGCACTTCTGCTCCACTATTCGAAAGCGTCTTAAGAACCTGAAAATCTTGGGTGTGAAGATATCCTGCGTATCAAGGGGAGCACAGCTAGATCTGCAAAAAAACGCTCCCCCGCGTTTTTTCCTCCAATGCCGGCCTCGAGTGCGTCGAAATCAACGCGCGGTTGGCTGTGGGCGAGTTTTCTCGCAGGTTCTACCATCGGTTATCCCAATTGCAGTATCTGACGCATCTGAAACTACGGACATTGCATTCTTGCGGTATGACTTTCAAGTTGAGGACCCCACAGCCGTTTCCAGCACTGCGGACGTTAGAATGTACAACGGGAACAGCTGAAGGCATACACACGCTGCTCAACCACATCGCCTCAAGTAACTTGAAGGACGTCAAGCTAACTTTGAGCCGTCCACCCGGTCGCGCCCACCTGCCAATACTTATACGGTCCATTGTCCGTCACTCTGACACTCTTCGGTCTTTGAAGTTGCAGTTCAAGCACGACGTCGATCGACCACTCCCGGTATATTGGACAGACGTCGCACCCCTTTGAAATGTCATTCGCTCGTCCGCTGCCACATCCACTCGGACGAGGTCTTCTTTGATGACGACGACCTCGACATGGTCCTCGACGCCTGGCCTCACCTCCGGGAGCTACGACTCACTCAATCGCCGCAGTTCTTCTTTTCGATGCGCAATAGGCATGATTCCGTCTCTCACGCTGGACTGGAACGTGTTGCAAGGAAGCGCCCCAACTTGCGCAAACTGACCCTGCCCCTCGATTTATCAGTCCTACCTGTTCAGCATGAGGAGATGCAAGCCACGACCTCATCGCAAAGTAAGTTATACAAATTGGATGTTGGAACCACGGAGATACCATCTGTGGATGGTGCGGAGCAATTTCTCAGATCGAACTTTCCCAACTTGAGAAAGTTTCGACATCAGGACCCGCCAGCGCTATGAGCCTCGATGACTAGGAGTCGCTCCGAGAGAGGAAGGGAAGGATGACGGAATTGTGCAATAAATTCAAAATTCCACCAACGTAGACAATGTTGCTAATTATACTTCCTTTCCAATCTTATACTGGGAAAGTATCCTTATGAAATCATCATGCATGATCTTTGGTTATCGCATTCACATTTGTTCTTGTGACCTCATTACTATATCGCCGAGGGACCGTTTAACACCGACCAGTTGACTTCGCCTGCTCTGAGCCGCAACCGCCTGGCCAACCTCAACAATGTCTTCGCTCACAGACGCTTCTTACTCTGCAGTCGAAGACCTCCGCAACACTCTCGGAGCCAACTATCGTCTCTCCATCACCGACGGACGTGTGTTCATCGGCACCTTCGCCTGTATCGACAAGGAGAAGAACCTGGTGCTTATCAATGCGGATGAATACCGGTTCGAGGAAGGGAGATGGATGGACAGATATGTCGCGATGATTATGGTGCCGTGGGATTTGGTCAAGACGGTGGAGTGTAAACTGGATGGTGCGGACGACGAGATGTATACGTAGCACGAGGAGGTAAGCCGTTCCCCTCGCTACCCTCCTTGTAGCTCAATGATTGCTGTTCCCAGTGCTTATGGACACGGTATATGCGTCATATTAGACTTTTCACGGCCGCGCATGGAGGATGTAGTCCAGCGACTGGAAACTTTGCACCTGAGACGGGACTGATTGGTCACAACAGCCGCGGGAACAGTGATCAACCGAAGAGCGCGCACTACTATCAACATCCATATTCCCCTGGAGATGAAAGCAAAAAGCTGTGAGGAGGATCACACAACTGGGGAAATGAGATGGCGTTTGCACATAGAATGATGGGATGACAGCGTATTACGCACACTGCATGTTAATATATGTAATCTGCGTAGTATCACACGTACAGTATCCATCACTTTTTTTCTCTTCGTGGACAACAGCAATTTCATTATTGAAGCCTAAGGGTCCGCCGCCGCCCTCGTCCTCCTGTCACGTTGGAGCGCGACGTGTACCCCGCGTCTCATTTCATTCGCATCGCACTGGCTCATCCTACCTACTCCAGCGTCTCCCATAGCACCCCTTTGATGTCCGTCATCGTTGATATGGCGCCCAAGCCCTCTACCTCCATCGGCCACCTAGGCGCAAGCGAACACAAGTACAGTGTCATTCTCCCTACTTATAATGAGCGAAAGAACTTGCCGATCATCACCTGGCTTTTGGCGAAGACGTTTACCGAGCAGTGAGTTTTTCCTCTGTACTGTTGTGAGAGGGTGCTGATGAGTTGAGGGTAGTCAGCTGGAATACGAGATCGTGATTGTGGATGATGCGAGTCCCGATGGAACGCAAGAAGTCGCACGACAGCTACAGAGGGTATACGGCGAGGACCGGATAGTGCGTCTTTCCCTCCCCATATTACCTACCTCTGACAGCCTGTAGATGTTAAAACCGCGAGCGGGAAAGCTTGGTTTAGGGTGAGTAGTCGCGGATGTAGGTGGGTGGGTCCTGACAGGAAGTGCTCAGGACGGCATACGTGCATGGACTCTCTTTTTGCACAGGCGACTTTGTGATCATCATGGATGCCGATTTCTCGCACCACGTATGTTCATTTATTCGCTCACAAGCTAGTCGACTGACACATCATAGCCAAAATTCATCCCCGACTTCATCCGCCTTCAACAGACTTACAACCTTGACATCGTCACTGGCACCCGATACCGCAGCACACCGAGCCCCAACGCACCAGGGATGCCCCCTGGAGGTGTGTACGGGTGGGACTTGAAGAGGAAGCTTGTGAGCAGGGGGGCGAACTTCCTTGCTGATGTTGTGCTTCATCCGGGGGTTAGCGACCTTACGGGTTCATTCCGGTGAGTATCCATAGCTTATCCAGAACGTGGCTAAGTGGTCTGCGCAGGCTTTATCGTAAAGCCGTGTTGGCGCAGATCATCGCCCTCACCCAATCTAAGGGTTATGTCTTCCAGATGGAGATGATGGTCCGGGCACGCGCACTCGGGTATACCGTAGGAGAAGTCCCGATCACCTTTGTGGACCGGATATTTGGCGAGAGCAAGCTTGGCGCAGACGAGATCGTGGGCTATGCAAAAGGAGTGTGGAACTTGTTTACCAGTATATGATGGGTCAGCGTTATCTAGCCAAGGAAGAGTACGTTGCCGGTGACGTTCTAGAAGGGTGGGAGGGATGACTAGTGTCGTTAGTTGTCGATGGATCAGCGTTAGCTGGTGATAAGGAGAGGATGGTGCCAGCAACTTTTTAGAAGGTGGCCGGGATTAGTAGGTTGTTGTTGTCACGCAGAACTAGTTGGATGTCAAAAGCTGACATGTAGGGACTCGTTGTGGGGTGCGTTTCCCTTCGTGAACCCGGCGAGCTTCTTCATGTGCAGTACCTTGCCTTGTCAGAACGAATCACCAACTAGTTTCAAGTTGTATACTTTCTAGTTTCAGCAGAGGATGATAATACACATCGTTAATTCAAAGAGCAGAACGTGTACTATTCATACCTAACAACGTGTACAATAATTCAACTGATAAGTAAAGGATTGTCTCATCCACCGATTGTCTCCCGATCCCGATATTCTCGTCACATCAGTCTTACTCACGTCATGTTCGTTGGGTGGGTCGTTAAGGGCTGGGTCTAGGTACATAGGTACATGAGGGCATGAACCATGTTCGCCTGCAATGACGGAGCGACGTACACCCCAAATATTAAGTACTATATTGAACAGTACATTAATTGCTTTTTACAAAGCCACTTAGCAGAGAGAAGCAGCTTGTACTTAATTGTTATTCATTTACAAAAGAGTGTGCCGAACAGGGCCGAACCCTTAGTGTGTTTAGTGATCAGCAGGGCGAACGGTCACCGCTGTGATCATCCATCCCCCAAGCCACTAATCACATTATCACTCTCCACCGACGTTCTGTCCGCCTTTTCCATTTCCACCACCACAACCCCTTGTTTCGCCCACTTTGGAGGGTAATTGTCAGTCAACTGTTTAAACAGTAGGTATGTATATGTTCAAATAAACAGGCGAGGGTAAATAACCGTGCACGGCTTTCCATCAGACTGTTTGCTGCACGCGTTGTCCCGGAACAGACAGCACAGCGTACGCCCGTCGCCAGTCCCGCCAGTGCAAGCGCTTCTTTCGTGGCCCATACCCGACATCCTCTTTTGCTTTTTACCATCCGCTCCCTCGTCCTCACCACCCTTTTCCCTTCTGATTCACACCTACTCGTTGACGACTGTGACGCTGCGTCGCCTCCTCCAGCTGTCGTCGTCTACCTAATCCACCTCCTATCCCTCAACTCCCTTTCACTAATCCCTCCTAATCAAAAATGGGCGCATGCATGTCATCCGCGGGTCCCGTCACCCCGGAGGAAGAACAGGCACAGCGGGTCAACAAGCAGATCGACCGGGACCTGAAGGAGAAACAAGCGGAGATGGCAAAGGAGGTCAAGGTCCTCCTTCTGGGGTCAGGCGATTCGGGCAAATCCACGATTCTGAAGGTGCGTTTTTTGTGTCTCCGTCATCTGCGGAACGGTTCGTTCAGCAGAGTGGATGCTGACTGATCCGACAGCAAATGCGCCTCATCCATCGGGTACCGTTCACGGACAACGAGATAGAGAGTTTTCGCCAGCTCGTGTTCCAAAACCTACTCGAGGGCATGCGACTGCTACTTGAGGCTGCAGAGCTGCTAGACATCAAGATTGGGCCTGAACAACAGGTAGTTCTCTATCCCGCTTTTGTCGGATCGTGCTGAGGTGGATGTAGGACAACATAGCGATGATTGAGCATGCTGCGGACTTGAGAGACGACCAGGCGTTCCCACCGGAGTATCTGGAGCCGTTACATACATTGTGGAACGATTCGAACATCCAGAAGACGTATGAGCGGGGTAACGAGGTTGCCCTTCCTGAAAAGTACGCTTTCGCTCCTGCCCCAGCGCATACATCTTACTGATGCCCTGCGAAACAGCTTACAATACTTCTACGCTGACCTCCCTCGCCTTTTCGCCGTCGACTTCAAGCCCACAGAGCAGGATATAATTCGCTGCCGAGCGCGCACGATCGGTATCCAGCAAACGCAGTTCAAGCTTAAGGGCCACACGCTGCACATGATCGACGTCGGTGGCCAGAAGAGCGAGAGAAGGAAATGGATACATTGTTTCCAGGATGTGACGACGATCTTGTTCTTGGTAAGTTTAAGCGGGTACGATCAGTGCTTGGTCGAGGATAAGGATGCGGTTAGTCAAATTGTATTGCCATGAGGCCAAGCTGACGTGCGATAGAACCAAATGCTCGACGCTATGGCTATTTGGGACTCGATCTGCCATTCGCAATGGTTCAAGCAGACATCACTCGTGTGTCATCTCATCTCCGGCCTTTCGTCGACCAGCTGACTCCGTCTCAGATCCTCTTCCTGAACAAGGTCGACCTGTTCGAGGAGAAGGTCAAGACATCGCCCATCAAGACATTCTTTGCCGACTATGAGGGTCCAGATGGGGACGCTGAGGCTGGTAAGGAGTACTTTAAGAAGCGCTTCGTAAAGCTCTCAGTGAAGAGCAACCGGGTCAAGGAGCGGGAGATCTATACACAGTACGCGAATCTTTTTTGCCCCCAAACTATATTAACTAGCAACGCGAAGCTTCACTAACGCAACTGATACCGAGCTGCTACGAGTTGTTATGGCCGCTGTTGAAGGCAAGTTTTACCTTCCCCTCTGGTACCTGTGTGCTAACCCCATTCGTAGAGTACGTCCCTTTTTCTGATTCTTTTCTAGTTTCCTCTTCTTCCTTGCCCTTTTTCGCGTGCCTTGCCTCTGGAGACCGCTTTTATTTTCCTTCCTCCACACACACATACCGGACCCGAGCTCATGGTCGCTTCAAGTACCGTTCTACGAACGAATCTTTCCAAGGCCGCCCTCATCTGAACTCGCCTACCCGGTTTCCCCCCCGGCCCTCATCTCCGTCTCCGTCTTCCATTTCAGTCTGTACCAACATCCCCGCCACCCCGTTCGGCACCCTTCTTTCTTTTGGCTGTCGGCCCGCGCAATCGGGCCCGTATCCCGCATTTATTCCCTGGCTTCCGCGCTTACCACAACCTCTGCTGCGGCATCTCTTTGGATTTGGCACCCTCCTTTGATTATTCCACATTTATGCCTGTCGTGTTGCGTAACGTAATGGTCTCACGAGTCCGTTTTTCCTATCTTTATCTCATGCAACAACGACATTCCCAAATACTCTCGTTTGCTCTGCCCTGCCCCGCGCTCGAATTTCCGTGCTTCCCATCGCGCACATCATCCAGCATGATTGTGACCAAGAATGTGAGAGCATTCCGTGCACCGCGATGTGCCGCTGATCCAAGCCATGACTGGCCAGATGCGCGGCATTCTTCTCTGATTACCGTCCGGGCCGCACGTGTCAGGCATGGGCAAGACCGTCATACCGTCGTCCCTGGGTGAGTGGGCCGATTCCTGTCAACAGGGACGGTACTTATCTTCCTTCCCAACAGATCCTGGAAAGAACCCTGTCGAACCCCTATCTCCCACCATTGTCAACCGTCACTCCTTGCATTCCCATCTTCCTTTTTGCATTCTCTTTTCCCACCTTGTTACGGTCCGTCAGCATTATATGCACGCGGTCCGGCGAGGAGGCAGTGGTTACCATGTTGAAGTGGACGATCTTCCCGCTGATGCTGGCCCTTGAGGCTCTTTCATTTTTCCCATGTTCACAGTCTGGTACGTGCGATCACCTGTCTCTTTGTTTCACGCCACTGTCCGTGCCACACCTTATGACCTCGTCCCGATCCCATCTCTTCCATGCGCTGCGTCGGTGTATTTATATAGGCTTGTTATGGGCTATCCATCTTGTGTCGATCCCAGTCCTTCCAAAACGTTCGGTCCGGCGCGCGCCTCGATACGGACGAAACAGATGCGGGGCCAGAACGCGTGTGTGGGAGAAGTAATCGTATTGTAAGGGACTGACGAATTTTGGGACGAGGCTGTGAACGCTCATGTGGCAAACTGGACTGTATTGCGGCCTTTTTCCCGAAGGCCCGGAATCGACTGAACACATCGAGATTAGCGGCCCGGTACGCGGGTCCACCGGGGGGGCCGAGAAGCGCGATGTGGCTCTTGTGCGCCTCACAAAGGGGAAAGCGTCCCTCGAAACCCTGCAGTGCCTGGCGGACTTCAGCACCAAAGACAATGAACTTTCGACCCTTTTCCCACCCTGTCACGCCATATCTCGTACCTCGAGGCACGTAGTGCCTGCAGAGTTCAAGTATTGTACAAGCGTGACTGTACCAGCGAAGCACTGGTACTCCCGGCGTCCATGGGTGTAACCGGGAACACACCCGAGTTATATGAGGTGGAAACGGCCGAACAAATTCTCTGATCCGCGGTGAGTGGGGGGTTCCCGTTTTCCGCTTCAAGGTCGGTAACCACTCTTCTGGGAACTGGGGCCGGTCAGAAGTTGACCACCATTTTGATTGATATTAGCAAAATTTAGCGTTGATTGGCCTGTCGGGCGAAAATTTCGGGAGGCGTTGCGATATCACCCAGCTCCGGGGATATGTTGATGAAAGAAGCAACACATATGCTGACGAATTGCAACAAGTACCGTGTTCGTCCTTCGCGCGTTTGCCAACAACTTCTCCTCGCGACAGGCTCAGTGAACTGCCCGTCCAGCCCGGGACCGCACCAGAATGAATAGGAATATCAAACCGTGTTAATTGGCGCAGCAAATAAGTATATTCATAGGTGGGAGGGAGAAGGTACCACTGCTTCTTTGGGGTTCTCTGTTCTGCGCATCTTGCTCCGTATTCCTCTTCTGGTGGCTCCTGTTGCCAACTTGCCGAGTACGTGCCTTTTCACCCTTCTCATCTTCGGGTGCTGACTGAACATCATAACTAGGCATCAGCATCGGTACCACAGTTGGTGGACAAAACCTTGCCACACGCTCGTTCTGGTCCGCCCTCAATCGATGTCATGCTGGTTGCCGTAGCGAGAGAAATGAGACGGTCCCATTTACAATCGCTTGTATCGATTTGGACAAGAACCAGGCGCTGCTTGTCGACTTGACGTTGTTCAAAGGTATTCAAGCGCTTGCTGTGAGCTCCCGTCGCTGGCAGTGCAAGTGCCGGAATTTTACTTTCACCACTCATCATATTCTATACCAGGTGTATATGCGCGCTGGGCAAAGGGCTAACCACGCTCCACAGTCAGTGACAGGAAAATACCACTGGTGCGGGATCACGGAAAGTGAACCCAGGACCGTCGAAGACTGCCGGGGACAAGGGACAACCTCGCAAGCCCTATAATGTAGGAAACAGTCCATTCCTCAGTATTAAAGCTGTGTAAGTCAGATGTGATGTCTAACACCACCCAGCATGCTTATACAGGGCCGAATCCTGGTAAGCAGCTCCCACAGAGCAATGTCATTCAGAAGGAGCTGACGAGGGCTTCCAAGCAAGATCAGGCTAGGAATGAGTCGTCAGTGCTCAAGCATCGTCTGTCGCTCCCGGAAGTAAGCTACTGCTCGATGGGGAGCTAGGAGTGTCGAGAACGGCGTCTCGTCTCGTAGGAAGGTGTTCTCAAAGGTTATAAGAACATCAGGGTACTTCATGTGGGTAAATATGGAGCTGTGTCCAGTTCTTATAAATAAAGCATGAAGACCGCTCCGGCACAACTTGCCAAAGTCCAACTAAGTGGAGTAATAGCCGCCCACGATGAAACCATGTGCACATGTTCCAGAGTCATAGAGACCCTTGCTTGGTTGTTTGCGGGGTAACTACGGGTATCGCACTGGTTAAGCATGCACCAACTGGGCAGGACTCATCCTGACTCATACGGCTTGCGCAGCACCACATCTCCAGGTAAAAAAGACAAGTACAAGCGCTCTCAATCTGTCACCTAGATCCTCTCTTGTTTCCTACCCTCCTAGAACAACTGCCATGTCTCCGACGATTGAGATCGACGCATCACAACATCCCATTTCGTCCGTCACGGTTTACCAAGGTCGCGCAGAAGTGGTACGCAAGTTTGCGATTGAGCTCGAGGTGCGCATCTCTGTGACTTGCACGAATTTCAGCTCACAGTCTGCATACATAAGGTAGGTCAGTCGGAGGTTCTCATCGACAAACTTCCAACTTGCCTCGACGAAGCCTCCTTGCGGGTTGATGGTATCGGCAATGCAGTCATCTTCGACGTTATATATGAACTGCGCCCTTCTTTCCACCCACCCCCTAACCCATATACGAAAGAGAGCGACGAAATCAACGCGCTGCGCAATGAGGCTGCTGCTCTGAAGCGGGAATTCAAAGTGCTCGAAGCACAGAATGCCGTGCTCGATGAATTCTCCCACACCCTCAATGCGAAAGATATCGATGCGGAACGGTTCGAGAATCTTCTTGATTTGATTTGGAAAGAAGGGGCTTTCATTCAGCGAGGACATCGCGATGAAGGCGAAACAGATCAACGAAATCGATACTAAGATTGCGGCAAAAGGGAGAGGCCCGCCTCTGAGCGAGGAACAGATCAAGCTGGCAACGAAGGTTACGGTCGTTGTCCTCGCAGAACGGGCAGGGAAGGCAGAACTGACGGCGACATACGGTGCGTGTTACCATTCTCAACTAGGGAAATGCTGTCTGATTGTTTTTCAGTCGTGACAAATGCGACCTGGACTCCACTTTATGACTTACGGGCGATGATCGATGCTACCGCGAAAACTGGAACCGCCATCTCACTGAGCTATCGTGCAAGTATCGTGCAAACCACGGGAGAAGACTGGAAGGATATTATCCTGTCACTTTCAACCAGTGCGCCATTGACGGGCACACAGATCCCAGAGTTAATGTCGCAGCGCATTCGACCGCCATTGCGCCCTAGGAACCTTCCTCACGGATTTCGAGGATCTCGTGGTGGAGGTCGTGGAATCATCGCTCCCTTACGTGCTGCGGCTCCTGTTGGCGCGGCCCAATTTGGATTCGCGGCTACTGCTTCACTGGCTGATGTCGAAACAGAGGCGATACGCGAGCCGTCGCAACAACGCCAGATGGTAGTGCCAGCAGCGCGCGCTCAAGAAGGGACTATTTCTGCTAACTTCCTCATCGATGGACAGTCTACTATTCCATCCGACGGATGCACGCACAAGGTCGCCATTGCTGTTCTTGACCTATCAGCCGAAATTGAATGGATTGCCGTGCCCAAGCTGAATAAATCTGCCTTTTTGCAATGTCAGATCGTCAACTCGTCCAGCTACTCGCTTCTTCAGGGACCGTCCAACATATTTGTTGATGGTTCGTTCGTCGCCAAATCGCAGATTCCTTTTGTCTCACCTCAGGACACCTTTGCGTGCTCCATCGGCATCGATCCCTCTATTCGTATTACGTACGCTCCGCAAAGCAGGAAAGCGCGCACACAAGCAACTGGTACCATCTTTAACCAGTCGAAGGTCGATGCATCTATCTTCACGCAGCGAATCAGCATCAAGAATACAAGGCAAACCACGGTCAAATTGTTCGTGCGAGACCATGTGCCCGTGAGCGAGGACCAGAAGTTCAAGATCTCTGTTATTGAGCCGAAAGACCTTGGAGCTGCCAAAGCTGGTGAGATTGTCAACATCTCAAAGGAGGCTTTCTGTCGTTGGTCTCAGAAGGACTGGGATACGCTGGACATATCTTCAAACAATGGGAATAGTTTCGGCGCGAACACGCATACACCCTATGGGCAGGTAGAGTGGGTTGTTACCCTCGGACCCGGTAAGAGTACTGAGCTCATACTTTCGTGGAATTTCGTGGGAAGTGGCGGCACCACTCGGCGATCAGTGGGAGACATTTTTTGGTGTAATTAACACGGGTGTTGAATGTACAAGAGCTTGGTGATGAAATCGACATGTCTAGACCTAGTGGTGTGAGCGTGTCCCATTGTACCCATAGTGCGATAAGTATACAACGGTATCTACGTTGCCTTCCTGTGAATATTTCTCTGCACTTCTGCCAACATGCTGTCTCTTTTCTCCCGCTCTGTCTCCCATCTTCTCTGCTCTTCTGTCGGTGGATTCCACGGTGTGTTGCTTCCTAACCCCCAACTCCGGGTGTGGCCGAAGCTGAACCGACGAAGACGGGGAAATGTTGCTGTCATGAACCTTTCTGTCTCATGGACAGAAGAAATCCAAGTTGCTTCCGATGTGCAGTTCAATCACATCACTATTGGAAGATCCTTGTGTTCCACTCCCTGATGCGACAACATAACAAGGAAGGATGTTTAGGTCCACGGGAACCTCAAGAGTGGTTAAACGTGGAAATCCGTGAGCGATTTTTTGCAAACCAGCAGGTGAGAACGCGTTCGGATTCGGAACATCCCGTTCTGGTAGTCTACAGTGAAATTCATGGAGGGCAAATTGTTGCAGATCGGGGCAAGACTCCAGAATTGCTGAAACATCTGCATCGCTGGTTCGGAATTGGCTGAAAGTGAAGCGCAGAGAGCGAAGACGGGTTCGATGTCGGAACAGGGGGCGAAATCTGCCCAGGTTACAATATCTGGTGAACTACAAAACTCCAGTTCCAGTCGTTGAAGTGTAGAAGTGTGTCGAGAAAGGGAATCAACCAACTTTGACAGCGTGGAAGAATCGGAATATCGGGTAGGACGAGTTTTGATGATTTCCATTCGTCCCGAAGTGACACAGTCGGGAAGAGTAGCGAAAGTACCTGCCAATCCTATTGACCCCTCTAGGTGACGCAAGGCGCAGAACGGGTTGGAAATGGAGAAGTGTAAGTCTGTTTCAGAGAATCCTATTGTTCCCAGGTGAAGATTCGTCAGAAATGGCATCTGGGCCATTTGCGAAAGAACGTCATGCTCCATTGGATGGTGTCCATACGTTATGTTGGTTGAAAATGCTTGCAAATTGGAGGCGAGTAATCGAATGTGGGAGGCTTGGATACTCTGCCACTCCTCTTCAGTAACTTCGAAGAACACCATCAAACCCCACAGCATTAACTCCTTAAAAATGTGATGAGGCGAGGCGTATGGATCGACAAATGCAGCGAGGGAAGGCGGTTCGAGAAAGTGATCCCTTGAAGTGTCGCAATTAGCTGCTTCAGCGTGCAAGATCATGTGGAGGGCCACCAACTTCGGCAGGGCAAACAGTATTGCCTTGCAAGCGACGACAGTGGCGACAGACTCAGTATCAATCGACAGCATTTTCAGGTCGTTAAATGTCGTTGAAAAGGCATCTGGTGCAAGCAGAAGAAGGTCGTCTTTTACGAGTTCCAGGAATGAAACACGGTGAAGATAGATCTTCGCTCGGCTGTTAAGTTGTCTCTTATCAAAGCGTAAAAAATAATCGCGTTAAGCAATAGAATATGTCTTACGAAACCAGTACAAGTGCTGTCTTCTATGACCGGTGTCAAAAGGTCCACGATGGCGGCGGTCAAACTAGGCAACTCTCTCCACACTGCGTTCATGGCTGGTTCGACACGTCCTCCCTAAACGGACGAGCTCCCTCGTGTCGCAATGAGACATTATCTCTATCGCAACATCTGGGTTTTCGAGAGCACGATGCATTTGGAGCGACTGAGGTCTGCAAGCACTGGTGGTGGTGAGGAGTGAGATATAATCACCGCGTGTGGAGGGGTCCTTGGCGGAGGCATGCCTAGGTACACCCAGGTGATCCCGTTACCGGATTTTCCACAGCCTTACCGGGGTTCAATAAGCGGTGTGCTACCCAGGTCCACCAGGCTGTCTAGGTATTGACGTAGCACATCCATACCTAGCTTCCATAGAAAGAATGGTCACAATCCATACTTTGCGCTTCTGGGTAACCCTGGTTACTACATACTCAAGACCACGGCTATATACTCAAGACCACATGATCCTTTCTTCATTGCCACCCACCACCACCCATCCCGCGTCTTCCACATATTCTTCCTTGCCACATTTTGATGCAACCACATACCTCCGATGTGCTTATATGCACATCACTCTACCACCATCATCCAGCTCACCTTCTCTTACCTCCTCTCAACTCACCCACTCCACTCCTACTAATACTTCAACCTTCACTTAACTCTCATGGTCCTTTCACCTCTCAAGACAAAGGCCAGCATGATGGAGCTTTCGAAAGTCTTCACAGACCTCAGTGCTGACCAGCGCTTGAAGCTGATGAGGGGTCTTGAGCAGCTCGACTATAATGACATGGCAGGGTAAGCACATCTGGCCTCACCATGACATTTCAGCAACTCACCATCTCACAGGGAAGTTGAAGCTGATCTCCTCCCTTGTGCCGAGTCACGTCAGGAGATCATCGACTCCATTGTAGAACTCAACACAATGTTGAAGAGGTACCACCAGACCATGGATGCTGTGATCAAGTGCTGGAATGAGAACAGCAAGACCACCAGTTCCAACTTTGACCAGGTTGAGGGAGACAAGTTCTTCATGGGCAAAGAGTGGTGCTATGATGATCAGGAGGATGACCAGGCAAAGGAGACATGGTGGGAGGAGATCTGTGCAAGCAGCAAGCTGGGTAGGACCCACAAGAAGAACCACAAGGGCATCTTCAAGCTCAAGCACCCAGCCTGGATGTCCATCACAGTAAGTTTTAAAGCCTCATGCTGTGACCTTGATTACCATACCTCTCAGTTCTGGCAAGTCTATAAGAGCTTTGTCATCACCAAAGAAGAAAATGATAAGTCTGTGCAAACCAATGCTCCCAATCCTTGTGTGGACCTGGGGAACATGTGCAACTTACACATGCCCAAAGGCATGACCCCATTCAAGTTTATGGTTGACAAGGCTTACCTTGAAGACCACAGCAACTTCAAGGTTAGTGACACCCTGCTGAGCTGGTTGACTAAGAAGGTGGCTTGTGAGATGCAGGAGATTAATGGCCCCTGGGTGCATGAGGATGTGTATGTCAACAAAGACTGATCCAATCATAAGTTCTTTCGCTTTCGTGTAGCCAAATGCATGCACTTACTATTACTGAGATTCATTTCTGATCTCATCTACTAGTAGCACTAATAGCTCTCCTGCAATATTCCAACTCATCAGTGATCTGGTATGGCAGAATAGATGGATGTATGCTTACTAGAGTTCTCCTCCCTCTCTCTACAGATCATTCCCACTCTACATAGTAATGTCAGTACTAGTACACCAATGATTTAGTGTAGTAATATCATGATGACATTACCTATATACCTTGGTAAGTGCTGTGGTGATCCACATGGGTGTACCTTAGAATTGTAAGGTTGCCCATGCTACAATCCCAGCAATGTTGCATGCTTCCATGATGGAAGGAGGCTGGGCTGCATCCACATCATTGAGGTACTGCTGGTGTTCCCAGCAGCCCACCTCAAGAGCATGACTTGGTGAGAGAAGGAGATGGCTGCCAAGTGGAGGGTGTTGAAATGTCATGGTGAAGTCCACAGGAGCATCTGAGTAATAGAGAAAAGGAGGAAGGATGGTGTCAGTGAATCTGGACCAAGAGGAAGAGTTTACTCACAAAGGTTGGTACAGTTCTGTGAGATCATTGGTTTCCTCAAGGGGTACTAGCCAAGCCACTTCAACCAGAAGTTGCTGGATGCCTTGATGGTGGGTGAAGACATGTCAAAGTTCTCCAGCCCATGGCTGACCCTTGTGCCAGCAAATCATCACGAGTGCTTCCCCCTTCCATGTGTCATCAGGTTGGACTGCATGCACCAGTCTGCCTTCCCAGATGAGGCCAGGGAACTCGGCAACCTCGTGATTGAGAGTAGTACTGCCAGGAGGGGCCAGTGTGGCTCAAAGATGGTGAACTTGCTCAACATCACCCCATCATGCATTGAACCACCTAAGGAGTCAGATGTACTGCAGCTCTTTAAGTTGCTGCAGCTTGCCGACACCTTGAGCAGTGCAACCAGGTAGATCTAGGTAGATATAGTCAGCAATTCTAATGTACCCTGGTGGGATACCTAAAAACATACCAGGCTGGGCAGCATCCTCCTCACCCTCAGCCATGGCTCTCAAGGCACCCTGGAGAGCAAGGTCCCGGGCTTGTTCAAACATTACCTTGCCTAGGTACTGAGCAGGTGGGTCCTCATGCTGGTTACAAAGCACAATTGCCTGGGAGATGTTAGTGCTGAAGGGTATGGTGAGCAAGACCCAGTACTCACTGTGCAAATGAGGCTAGAGTATCACTTGAACTCTCATGCGAATGTCACCTCTAGCTCCCCATCCGCATGGCCATTTGTCTTGTAGGACTTGAGTGTCTTGTTGAGATGCTCAAACAGGAATGTCCAGAAGCTGTGCACATTCCCGTAATGTCAAATTTGCTGGCCCATGTGCATAACCCAATGAAAGGTTGGGGTCACACAGTTTGGGCCATAGATCTGGGCAAACATCAGTAGTACGGGGTCGGCATGGGGAGGAATGGGAAGACAAGATGAAATGTTGTGGTGAGGTCCAAAGAAGGGCACTCATAATGACACTAATTTTGCAGAGCAGTATGTGTGCTTACCTCAATAAACTTGCTGAAGAACTCTAAGTAGAGCCTCTCAGCAAGTTCAATGTTGGCATGGGTGATGCTTCAATATGTGAATAGCTTGATGACAGTGGCTAGGCAAAAAAAATTGATGACAGCCTTCTGTGGCACTCAAGGATGCAAGGTATTGTCATTGGGCAGTTTAAACTTGGTGAACTCTTTGGTGCTCTTCTGGGCAGCCTTGAGGAGTACAGCAGGAAGCTGTTGATTCATAAGATGGTTAGCAAAAACTCAACATCAATACTAGTGCTGTGCTCACTGCTGCAGGGCCATAGAGTATAGCAAGGGCTCTCCACTTGTCTGAGCTCAGATTGCCTCCCACTGGATACCCAACATTCTTCAGTAGCCTTGCATACCACAAGGGCATTTCAAAGTGGTACACTTGCATTGGATATCAGTTCAGTCAAGCACAAGGAGGGACATACCGTAGCCAAAAGATTGTGGATCTTGTCAAGCTCCCAACATTTCTTGGAAGTCTTACCTTGAAGGATAATTTGTTTCTTCACATTGGGGCCTTTCTCACCTTTACCACCCTGCACCCATACTCGAAACCACAGTGTGTGAGTGAGTCCTACATGAGGTGTGAGTGATTGTTCTCCAGGGAGAAGAAGTTACTCACCCAGAAGCAGGCTGTGCATTGGGTCAATGACCAACTGTCAGGGCACCAGCTCATTGCTTGGTCAAGAGACATGACTAAGCCTTTATGACA